TCAGGATAAAAATATGCATATTTCAAAGTACGACAACTTACGTTCTATATACAATAACTGTTGTCGTGTATGGTACATATGTATACTATTATTTACTAAAGTCCAAGCTTCGGAATGCAGTCTGTTTGCGCAAATTGCATTGCAGCCTGCTTGCGCAGACTGCATTGTTATTATAATTTTCGCAGTCATCAGGTGTAGCGGAGTTTATTTCGATGCTCTGGTATAATACTCACAGCATAGGTACTGTACAATAGTCTGTCTTTTTGAAGATGGAGTAAAATGATGTTCATTGCGCAAAAGTGTTGCCCGTCTTGGAGGCAAGCACCTAGTAATTGAAGTCGATAAATATTCTATGGACTGACGATTCAATGTTGGTCACGCTTATGCAATAAATAGCCGAACTTGCTTAATTTGTATCGTTATCGACCTATTATTCGTCAACTGTCGGGCACAGGTTAATTTGAATTGTCCCTTTTTGTGAGTTCGTACATACTTACATACACTGCATTTAGAAGTATGTATATTAAAAATACAAAGAGGAGACATATTTTAAAAGTTTTTCATTTTAATTCAATATAGATTTTGTGGGAGCCCTTTGCCCAGCAGTAGGACATAATGCGTTAATTAATAATAATAATAATAATAAATAATCAAATCTGCCTCACTAGAACATCGTAACATTGACAGTTCAGACATTTTTTGGCTCAAATTACCAGCTTTCACAATCTATCAACAAAACTGTCTACAATAACTACATGACTATTTAAAAATTAATGAGTACTGGTAACGCTGTAAATGTCACTTTAAGACAAGACTATATTTGATGCCAGAATATTATTCTCGCCTGTATCCGTAAAATTTTAATCTCTTCGACTTGAAATTTTAGAAAAACAAAGTAGTGTATATGTCCATACGAGAGCATTAAAATCAACTGTGTAATACAGCAAGTTTACAACACAGGTACATTGCATCACCCACAAGTTATAATGATTTCATAGTTGAAAGGGAGTTCACACGTCTAAGTTGAGGTGTCACACGAGTTTATAACCGACTTTAAAAAAAGAGGAGGTCTCAATTCGACTGCACTTTTTTGTGTATATATTACGCGATTACTCCAGCATTTGTGAACCGATTTTGTCCATTGTTTTTTTTTGTTGTCACTGGAAATACGACCCTAATGGCAAGTACTTGAGTATGATTTTTAAATCATACTCATGTCATGATTTGAACAATGAGTAGAGTTCTGGAATACGACCCTTAGATACTCGTTTGATTGCGATGGAAATTTTCGATTTACTAATCGATTACATACACTTTAATTGATTGAAATGAATGTTTTCGTCCGTACAGCACTATGCAACCACAGACTATTCATACATCTTTAATTTAAAAATAACCTCACTTTTTGACTATCATTTTTGAAATACGATTTTACGATGTTATTCAAATGAAGATTGTTGAAAAAAGTGATGAGATATGAAGTAAAAAACTTCGAAATATGCGTGAAAGTGTTAATTATTCGATTTATTGAGCGATTACTTTAGAAACTCAACCAAACCGTTATGTTTACATTTCGTTTAAAATGGGTTGGAACAGAATTTGTAAGGTCATATTTTTTGTAGCTGATGTTATTCAACAAATATTTACAAACAAACACATTGCGACATTGAAAGCCTCCGTACTTGGCTGAAAATCCTTATCAAACCAAGTTTTGTTCATTTAAAAAAGATACAAACAAAAAATATTAATTTCGTCTTTTAATAATGGAAATTACTTTGAGTAGCTAAACTACAGTAGTAAAATATACAAGTGAACCATTAAAGAAGTCTATGTGTTCAATCACACAGCGAAATAGAGTAGATTTCTAGTATACAGAAATATTAATTATAATATTAAGACGCAGTTTGCGATAACCTTTAGCCCACGGGTTCTGAATCACACGGTCTCAGTGTGATTTATCTGCTCAATTAGCGTATACTCGGAATTGTAACTATAAATCGGGGCCGTTAAGGCTAGTGTTACATTGATAGCAGTGCACGTAATGATAATGTGTACTCGTAAAATGTTATCCTGTACTAATGCTTATTAATACAGGGTAACTTTTAGGAGTATACTAGTTAATCTATACGGTAAGTCGGTGGGTGACAGGGTTGTGGAAAAATATTAGTCAGTGGCATTGGGGTGTTAGGTTCTGGAAAAACCTAACGTTATTGGACAAGTGTCGACGATTAAATGTATTTGAATTGGCTTTAATAATATGTATACACAAATTGATGATCAAAGAAGGATAGCAAAAGCTGACCCAAAATCAACGAACTGCCGTTCATGGACTTTGCTAGTATAATTATACGTTTTAGAAGTTAGTTTAGAGTTAGCAGTTTAGAAGTCGGGAAAAAAAAAATTGCAAAACAATGTATTTTAGAATAGATGCAAGAACACAACGCAATTGATTCAGTACGACCATAAATTAGGTAACGTCCTTGTAAGTACGTTTCATTTTAAGCATAATTGAATGTTAACCTACCTAAAGTATTGATTATGTTATAGTACACGCATAAAACATAAAAGCTATAAAGTACATAATCAATTAAACAATAATGACATAAAGTAAAAAATAAAACACAATGTGACAAAACTGTTTAGACAATATTTAAAAGATAGATATGAATTTTTTTTTTCTTATTCATATTACCTATTCGCGGTAAGCGTTTTAGCCATCTCTTCTTTTAAATGTTATGGCTCCATCGAAATAATCAATGATTTTGCCAATGTCAAGTAAAAATAACTATGTTCGGTAGTTTAATATTATTATAAAAATTATACAAAAAAAAAATGGCGATTTCGCCAATGTCCTGTGAGAATCAAATTCCAGCGTTTTAGCCACTTTAGCAAAAGAACGTTTTGACAAGATGCCTCGTGCCAATGTCAATGTCACTTTGAAATTGAGAACAGTGTGACCATTTGTGGCAAATTTCTGCCATTTAGGCAGATTTAATTTTTATTCATTTTCATTGCGACAGAACATGTTAAGGTTGGAACACAAAACTGCGTTGCGACGTCGCATCGCAGAAATGTACGATCTCGCACGACGCATCGCAAGAGTTTATGAATTGCTTCGCTTTTCTGCGATGATAAACTTCTTTGTTTTTTTTTCCTATACTTTCTTATCAATAACAGTACTGCAACACTCTTTTTAAAATCCATGTCGCTACCTAGTTTGAAAAATAAGTTCAGTACGTTTGACGATCGTTGAAGGGATGGTTACCCAAACCGCGGCAGTGACATACCTTGCTGCACGAAATCGCGTCGCAGTAATTACCGTCGCAGTGTTCTGCGTTGCGAATTCGCATCGCGCCGATTCAAAGTTTTGTGTTTCCACCCTTAACGTTATATTCAATGTGGCAGAGTTTGGCAGATTTAGGAATATTCAGCAAGTTCTTTATTATTTTTAGGAATAAACTGAACACTTGTTGTTTTCTGCTAATACGAACAAACATCTGAAGCGAAACACAGGACAATGTTATAAACATAATCTATACCAAGTTTATAACTCCAGCTTCTACAGGCTGTACTCAATTAGCTTTGATTAGCTTTTGATGCTTTGATAATGAATCACAAGTATTGATAGGTCTCTTTAATGCACGTCGTCAAAAACACTGGGTTACAAAGTACACGGCATGTCACCATCCTTCTTTGAAAACTGAATTGAAATTTGGTAAAATATAGAACAGATACCGTTAAATTAACGTTAAAAATCAGGATAAAAACTGTAATAACGGTAATATTTATTTGGGGCAACCACTAACTTCAATTATTTTAAGTTCATTTTCACCATTTTTATGTGAGTTGATTGAAGTATGTTCCTTAGAAATTTGAACCGTTTTACTTTGAACTTCTGTATTTTTAACGGGAATGAACTATAAGTGATTCTAATAAAATGCCCCAGCAGTTGTGGTTAGATTTTATATCTTCAAATTAGAAATGAGCACAAAACCTAAGAGTTACAGCTCGGCGTCGCTACAAATGGTGTGAATGGGGAATGATTCGGAGATAAAGGAATACCGAATTATGGTAATGTTACGACACGACAGCGGGGAAAATGACAACACTAATTATGAGAACTCGCACTTTGAGAGCACGTTTAATGGCGCTTTGATGTGAAAATCCCGTCGATGTAAGTAGTTGGAACGTTTTATCATAAATTTTTCTTGAAATTCTGTGTTATGAAAAGCAAAATGTCGATCATTAAACTATGTGAACAGTCATGCATGTCCGTATAAAGACATTTTCTTAAAGTTTGCCAGCAGTCGTAGAATAAATTATTTCACAGGGCATCATACAATATAAACATATACTTACACAATATTACTTTATTTCCTTTTAAAAAAGTGCTTAGCGCTAATAAATGGCGTGAGACTTACCCTTTGTCCAAGTTGACACGAACTACCGAAGTCTACTATCTTAATGGCCGACCTTTTCGGATTGCATAGTAGTATATTCTCGGGTTTTAAATCACAGTGAATTATATTTAGTTCTGAAACAGAGAAAGATTTATTGGTAATGCAATTTTGTTAAATGCAAACGCCACATTCATCAAATGTTTCATGACTACGAAACACGTGCAGGTAAAACATTTTGAATGGACCTCGAGAAAATAACGCAAAAAGCTTTATCAAAATATGCATTGCAAGTCTTTCGTAAAGTAAATGGGATCATTTTAAAGTATGAAGTTAGTTGAGCGAACTTCACTAACACAAGAAAATACGGAAAATCGTTGAATTTCGAGGAATAGGGCGTGCTCCGTAAACCTTTCAGTACTGTAAATACTTTATTAGTCAAATCTGGGTTGTTTGTATTTCTAAGAACGAAGGCCGTAATAGCCGAGTGCTCTGTAGTGACGGTGTATTAATAGAACATTGAGTGCTAAGTCTAAGGTAGTACAATAAATAAATTTTAAATTTGAGAAACGAGATTTTGAACTGCTATGTTGCGGAAATTTAATTAAGTAATTTAAAGAATAATTCCACCTTTTGATTCTTTATTACTAAAAAATAAAGAATAAATTGTAAAAAGAAATACCGCCGACATGCAACTTACTTCAATTTGTACGTGTTTGTGGTCGTTCCAAAAGATGTATTATAAATTATTTAAAACTAACATATAAAAATCTCTGGACCATCAGCAACATTGGACGGAGGCTTATACACTACTATCGACGCCAAAATCAAATTCAGAACACGTAAAAATTTTATCAGAGTATAAAGTAATGAAAGTATACTTACCAGGTTGACTAAGGAACAAGAGCGCGGTGCATAGTTGCTGCGCGAACTTACGCGTGAGGTTGAGCGACACTCCGCGAAAATTGGTATTGCGCAGCAAGTCGTACAGATTGTACGAAAGCAGCTCGAACACTAGGCATAGGTGGTTCCGCCACATGAAGTGACGTTTCAGTTTCACTAAAAAAAAATGTATTTAATTTAACTTTGCACTTCTATCCGTGAGTCTGTTTTTTTCCCAAATTCAACAAAATATAGCTGAAATTTTGAACAAAAAAATCTATTGCAAAAATGGCTACGGCGACAATTTTTCAACACAACTGCATGATAAACCTTTGTCTTCCTAATGTAGGACATTCACCTCCCTCAAATTCCTTCTACATTCTAAGCTTACAATCTGAGCTGGAATGAAAATTTTAGCACTCAAAGCCATACAATGTTCACTTACCTATATAATACTTATTTTCAGCGTCTGCCCTGTTCATCATTTCTAGTAACTTGACTTCTATTTGTGCCTGATTTAGGAAAGGTTTCTTATTCTTAATTATTTTTATCGCTACTTGACACTGTTCCTCATGATCATACGCTTTCACAACCTGCAATTTATAATTTTATATAGGTTTAATTATTTCTCAACATTCAAAGTTACTACTATGCCGACCTAGGCCCATCTACGTAAAACAGACGCCACTATTATGTTCTAATCTTATGTCTCATGGCCGCTGATTTTGAATTGTGATATTAAAATTACGGTACCACAATTCCGCTGGTAATCTGTCACTGAAGTTTAGATGCGAGACACTCAATCTCAGGTGGCTAGTCGGCTGTATGGATGTGCGTAATATGTTTGAACTAGTTTTGTAAAAAAAAAAATATTACTCACCTGACCAAATGACCCCTTGCCTATGGGCGAAGAGATTTCGTACCGATCGAGGAACTTCTCTCCCTGCTTGATGATGTAGTCATGGTTGTCATCATCGTAGCCGTCATTATAGAGTTTCCTTTCCTTCTTGTGCGAACCATCTTCGCCTAGGTACTGTTGCGCTCTCCGCTTTTTCTTTGCGTAATATACCTGTTGATAATAAAATGTGTATGTTAGAAATATACGTTTTAATTGTTGTTGCAGGTAGTAGAAGAATATATTTTAATGATTTATCAGTCTTGATCAATTGCGCAACTTGCCAGGATTATAGTAATTGAGATCTTACCCCCATGTGAAAGACTACTCAGTTTCTGTAGTCTGTGTGTAGGAAATAACGTCGCTGATCCTAAGGATCACGTATAAATAAATACCATAGTTGTATATATATTAATAAACGCATACAGCGACAGAAAATTCAAAGTACACCTTATAATACGACTACTGAATTAATTTCTAAAAAATCAGGAAGAAAGGAAATTTCCTTTGAAAAGTGCAGGTTTAAACCGTACAGCGAAAAGTGAAAAAAAAAATGGTTTTTCATGACAAATGTAAATAATCTTAATAAAAGTACCATAGCTTATGCTACTGGAGGGATTTTCCAATAATTTAATGTAACAAACATGATTAAATTACTAAGACAAACCGCGATTGTTGCGTTATGACAGTTATTTTATTTGATGTGTAGATGAAATCTAGCTAACTTATTGTAAACTGCTCGAAAATCTGAATTGCTAACGGAAAACAGATTCATAACATGATGCAGAAGTATGAAGATTACAATAGATAAACATTTTAAACAACTAAGTATGTAAAATGACTAACAGTTTTTGGAGGTGCCGTCTGTTTGTATCGCCATATCGACTGTTTACTTTTTGATACTGATTCATTATTTTTAATGTTCTTGATCTTTTTATTCAAATTATTGGATGCATTGCAGTAGCATATATTTTTTATTTGCGCAGCCTGTGTATAAATCCAGACCGATTGTTTATTTTTTGGTATCCACATTTCGTTTGACGACTGACTGGAATAACTTACACCTTTGGCTATCTGTTTGTGTCCCCATTGAGACTGTTTATATTCTGATACGCCTTTTTTAATTTTCGACTTCTTGTCCGTCACACCTACTGAACGTGGGTGGGTTAAACTACAGCTAAAATTGTTCAGTTGTGCTGTCTGTTTGTTTGATTGTTTATTTCTTAATACCGATTTTTTGTTTTCCGCTTTCTTGAGCGTGTCATCCCTTGAACGTGAATGAATTGAACTGAAAGAAAGAACGTTTTTTGTGGATGTATTTTGTTTAAATCCCCATAACGTAGGTTTACTTTCTAAAACATTTTTTTTGTTTTCCGATTTGTTGTAATTTTCATTCAAGTTGAAGTGATAGCTGTAGAAATGATAACTAATTTTTTTGGAGGGTTCTGTCTGCTTGTATTCCCTCCGTGTCTGTTTATTTTCTGACACTGATTTTTTATTATTTCTATTCTTGAAACTATGGTCCAGTTTGACCATAGTTTGAATAGAATTATTATTTTTTGGAGACGATTTCTTAAAGTTACACAGTGCAACATCTCTACATGCTGACACCAGTTTCGTATTTTTTAATTTTTTAACTTTCTTCATTTTTGGACTTCTTGGTATTTTTATAGCTTTCCAAGATTGCACTGCAACGAGTAACATTTTTTGGCAGTGCTGTCTGTTTACGTAATTGGGTACCAATGAATTTCCGATACCGTGTTTAATTCTTGTTCGTATTCATTTCCATGACCGTCTAATCCAATTTGTAAAGACAGATCTGGTGGTCAATGATTATTTATTTGTAATAAGTCATTGGAAAATAATAAAATTTGTAAATTTCGGTTATCAAAATTTGACAGCCTTTTGACTGTAAATAATTTTTCATAAAGTCAAATATATTTTTCTATGAGATAACATTATACTAGTGTCATATTCAAAAAAGATCTTAAACTCCGTTTAAAGCTTGTAAACAAGCATGACTATTTTCGAACAAACACCTAGAACTTAAAATGCAGACATAAAAGACATGTTTTACGGGGGAGCTTGGGGAAATGAGTTGACTTGAGCGGGAATTCGGCTGACGGACGTTGACCCAAATATGCGGTTGACATTGATCGACGACGGGTCGCGATATGCATAAACCGCGTATAAAACATTCGTGCCGATCAAGCCGATTTAAGTATAGGAAGTTCATTGGTACTGCTTTTTGTTACTACGCCGGACTCACCGAAAGGTGACTCATTGTTCGTTGAACTGACGTGTATCGATCAAATGGTTTCAAGTAATTTGTAAATAATGCAAGAATAGAAAATTTACAGATTTATAAAGGATAATACGAATGCGTCAGTCAGAACGCCACATGACGTATTGCTTGAAGCGTATGCTAGCATGACAAAAGAGTGATAACATAGGTTGCACTTGTAGCGTGTCGCCCACCGGAAGTGTTGTATATTGACGCGGCCAAGCGATAACCCAAATTTCAGACAGTGACCTACATATTATAGACTATATTTTACAGACGACCGAGCACCCTAGCAACTGTTACCGGCGAGGCTTCGCCCTACATGAATACCTATATGTCTGCTGAATTGCTAAGTCCGCAACGCCGCAAGTCTAGTGACCGAAATCTAATTTCAGACATGTGTAAAGACGGGTTTCTTAATGTCTTTTAAGAGTTCACCAACCAGTATCAGTGTCGTGTAATTTCAGAGAGGTTGACAGATTTTATTTAGACGAGTTAAGTCGGTGTGCTTAACTTATCAACAATCAAGGCTCAGCGTAGACGCCGATAGCCCGGGACGAACGGTGGTGGATCCTATTGGTACACGGGTAGCAGAGAGCAGCGGCGGCTGGCAAGTGGTGAGTGGTGAGGCAGGCCAGTGACCGAGGCACGTGGTCGCGAGATGAGCGCGTCGGGTCGGGGAGAGACGGCGCGCGGCGGCTGTCATTGATTTTCCTCGTTTCCCCCCTTCCCCGAGCATGACTCCCTCCCCGCCGCGTCTCACCCACTTCCAGCGGCCGATAACGAGGTTAACGGGCGACGTGAGCGTCTCCTAAACTTTAATTATACCCGTACACCCGTCGTGCATGTTTAACCGGGCCTCTATTCAGAGTTTTGTTTGTAACGCACCTGATAGGGGGACGTGATCCATTATTTCAGGCCGTCGCGTCGGTGAACTATCTAATTAAAGGAGCCGGAGATGAAACGCAAGTTGCACAACCTGCAGGTTTAACTTATCGCCGCGACTCGAAACTCAATTCAAACCAACTAACGAACACCTTAACTCATAAGCGTAGGACGACGCCAACTTCATCAATTTGTTGCGAACTGTTGTCATTGAGTTTATACGACTCTTTAGAAAGTAACGGTACCGACCGAACCCGAATCCTAATAAAGGTAATTTGGATCCGTTAACACTGGGTAGATTCCAGTATCGCACACCTTTTGTTATTTTAAAGGAAAGTCTAAGCGAATAAAGGCAGAATCTTCTGGTATGATATAAATGGAAGACTCGCAGATAACGTGTGAAGTCCTCAATCCTCCTAATGGTCCGAGTAGCGGACCTACGCCTGAGAGGAGACCCGTACCCAGTCGTAGGACGTATAAATGGGTTGATGATGATGGTATAAAGTATTAGTTTTTCTCAACTATTACTAGTACACGTGGCAGCTTTAATTTATAAGTAACTAAAACTGGACGGGAGAGCATCATCTGCATGCAGGGAGTAAATCGCGTCCTTATGTGAGCAATAAGTTGCTAACCGCTACAAATCTATAACCACTTATCTAATAAAAACTTCACAATGCCGAAATTTATTACAATCTTTGTAAATGAAAATGAATTAAATCTGATCGAGTAAATAATGAATTTAATGTATAAAAATGCATCTAAACTAATTAAGAAATCTCTCATCCACACCACCACAGTAATTCTTCAAATTATACATTTATTTAATATACCAATAATATATTTGGACAATCACGGGATTGTGCATGAAATATAGCTCACATTATTAAGTAAAACAGCACGTGTTGGCGTACGACCTTTTATTTGGTCTCTGCATTATATAAATATGTAATGCACATCCACGTAAAGTTTATCGGCGATCTAACGACGTTTAATAACGCAATTTGTTGATAGAATAACTATAGATTATTTGTAATTTATGCTGCCTTGCGGCTACTGGACATGAATAGAACCACCCCAGACATTGTCATACACTTCGCAAAAAGCCGTTAAATACGTATTCAAAATATCTTTATTTCATAGGTAACCAAATTACGATCGAAATAATCAAACTGATTAAACATTACTACTCATTTGTAGGGCAGACCCTGAGAAGAATTAATAAAGATTTTACAGGTTGTCTTTGTAGATAAATATTTGTTACTGCAAAGATGTGAGCAAAGAACTGCTACTGCGCACGTCACCCTGAGACATAAGTTAACAAGTCCTATATGCCAGTAATTTCCCCAGCACCTTTGCCCTTCAAAACCGGAACGAAGTAATGCTCACATTACTGCTTGGCGGCAAAAATAGGTAAGGTGACAGTATTTCCCTGAACTGAAAGTTAGAGTAGAAGCATTCAAGAAGGCAGAAGCTGTATGATAAATAATCTTTTGTAGCTTTGGCATCGCGAGTTTTAAACATCAAGCGCAAAATGTTCAATATCAAGCGTATACATTACCCCTTATTATTATTATATAATTATGTGTAAGTGCACAGTAAAAGTAGTTAAGTTAGCGTCTCACGCGTGTCAATACTACTTGAGCTCAGTCCGCAATTTTCTCTTTGTACGGTAGATCATCTCCTCTCTAAAATCGTAGAAAAATGCCTTGTTGGTGCTGTTTTGGAGTGCAAACATGATAGCCACACCAAAAATATTACCCGTGTTATTTCATATCATCGGTAAGTCTTATTTTAACAAATTTTCAATTTTCTGTTTGTCGAATTGATTTTTGTACTGTATAACAAACGAAAGTAAACATTATCCCAGAGCAATAATATGGTCGAGTTTTATCTTTTGGAGAACTAAGTAAAGGTCTCGAAATTTCCACGCTAGGAGCGAACAAAAGTTTAACCAACAAATGCTTCATGAGTGTTTAATTAATTATAAACGTAATTGATTGAA